ACACTTCAATCATATGAGAATGATCTACAGGATGCTTTTGATTTAACTTACTCGAACGATCTCCGGATTTGTTTTATCTCGTGATTTGACTTTTGCTAATTAAAGTGATAGGCATAACAAAGCTCAACTTCATTTAATGTGAAATCAAATGTAATTGATTGTATATGTATGTTTTTAGAAACTAATGTTACTCTTGCCTGACAATAAAATATGTATTTTTATATCAAATGCAGGCCAAAGAGGAGCTGTGCCAGTCCCACTGCCATGGATCAGTATCTTCAAAGGAAAAGGCATGTATCTCTCCAACAAGCCACTGCGCTAACAAACTCAATCCTGACCATGCTGGTCAAGGATATGAGACCAATGTCGATGGTTGATGGTGAAGGGTTTCGTGAAATTATCAGGCAGTTTAACCCTGAATACATCCTTCCATCCAGAACCCACTTTACTCACCTGATGGAAAATAAATATGAAGCAACCTTACTGAAAGTAGGTAGAAGTGTTTAACTCACACAGAAATATTAAACAACCTTTCTGAAGGTACAACAAGTGTTTATCACTCACATTCACTCACTTTCTCACTCCCACAGGCCCATAGAATATAATTTGTATTTATTAATTGAAAAGTAGACTTCATGAATAACAAATAAAATCACTGAAACATAATTGTATTTCAATTAAAGTGTCCCAAACATCTTAAACTGATTCTATGTTAGATGTTTACTGTATACACTGTATGCGCTTACATTGTTTAACTAAGATCACATCTGATGTCGTTTAAGGTAAAGGAGACCATTAAGGAAGTCAAAAGCGCCCTCACACTGACAGCTGATGGCAACAGAGGCATACCTTGGTGTGTCCTGCCATTTCATCAGTGAAGATTGGGAAATGAAGACATTGAATCTTGCCACCATGCCTCTTGAGGAGAGGCATTCTGGTGTGAACATCACGACATGGCTGGAGGAGGTGATAGCTAAATATGACATCTGGCCTACCAAAATAAAAGCAGTAGTTCACGACAATGGGTCCAATATTGTGGCAGCAATGCGAATGCTGGAGGAAAAACACGGCTGGGCCTCTGTGCGCTGCAGTGGGCACACACTCCAGCTCATAGTTAACAATGCCCTCAAAGAGCCCAGCATCAGCAGAGCTGTAGGGGCTGCAAGACACTTGGTTGAACACTTCAGGAGAAGCGAGCTGGCAAATCCAAAACTGAAGGTGAAACAGCAGCAAATGAACACACCACAGCATAAACTGATCCAGGATGTCAGTACAAGATGGAACAATACATACTACCAGCGCCAAATAGATAGAAGAGTTGCGACAACGGAAGTCCAAAAACGGTTATCGTCACGTGGTTCATGTAGACGAGGATCGTTCCCCGGAAGTTCATGGCGGGCAATGTGAATGCATTGATAACAGGAGATTGAACTACGATTTTTGGTAATTATTAGTGAATAAAGGTTTTGACTTGCAATATTTATACAACAAATCGATATGTGTATGTATTTACATCAATATGTTTAAAAAAATTAAATAGAATTTGCTAATATTAAGTGTTAATATTAGGATTAGTGTGAACAACTAGTTTACATGTTAGGCTAACAGTGCCTTGGTTAAAGAGCCTGTTGCTGTTTATTTATAGCTTTGAATTCTTTCAAACCAATATTATCTTCTTAAACTTGTATGGTAGTCAGGAGCATCACTTTCTAATGTTTATTGATATATTTAGAGGGAGGGGATCTAAAGTAATGCTTTAAAATTCAGATTAGATTAATGTCTACCATTTTCTTAAATTCATGGTAGTTTCAGTAATCCCATGGTAATTGAGGACACAAGTTATCTAAATGACTAATGTCATCTTTATGGCTTTCAGAAAGGACAGGTGACTATCAAAGGACTAGCAGCAGCAGCATGATGATGATGATGTTAAATGTGTTGTTTTAGGAACATCCATTGCAAATACATGGAATTCAATAAACATTGAATAGCATATCATGCAGTTTGTCTGAGCCTTTTCCTCCGTGTTGTCCTGGTTTGCTGTGCTGCCTCCCAGTCGCCACCATGGTTTGCTGTGCTGCCTGGGGATGCTCAAATCGCTCAGAGAAAGGAGTACGAATGTACGGCTTCCCCACTGACACGGAGTGGAGGAACAAATGGCTGGCTCAAGTCAGCACGACCAACAGCAAAAAAATATGTGATGTAATTATATACAAACACTGCATTTGCACTTTTTCACAAAACGAAAACCACACCATTGGGAAAGCTTAATGTTTTGTTTAATACAAAAAAACAGGGATAGGCTTGAAAAACACAGAGTTGAGACTCAGGGTGCAGGGTGAGGGTCTCAGTGCAGGTATTCAGGCTCCATTGAATCCCCCTCTGGTTCTTGTGCTGAAAGAGGGAGTAAAAGACAGGAGAAAGGGTTATACACACCTATATAGCACACCTATTGGATGGGAAATTGCCTTGGGGAGATAAGGTGTTTACTTATATAAAACAGTAGTATTAAACTTACCTTGTGTTTTCACTCTCACTTAAGTCCCTCCCCCTTTGCCATCAATCCAAAATCAGCTGAGCTGCAACATTATACAGACAGGTAATAATCAACATAATCACAAGGACACAATATGGCTCTGCTAAAAACACTCACTCTTACACGCACCAAAGTTATATTTATCTAATATTTAACTCCCTCCACCCCCGCATACAATCCCGTTTAGAAGCCCCTCTTCTCTAATTCAACAACGTTGGACCAAATAGACATTAAGAGAACGGAATTTACAATTAAAAGGCTGTTCAACGTGTGTTGCTAACTTGATTCGGTATCCTAGCTTAATCTGTTATCTGTAAACGTTCCCTAAATCTACTAATTTAGGGATAATCCACTGACATCCTTTAATACACGTTAATTTGAATCAGATGTACTGATAATATCCGCAATATAAATCTTTAAACTTCTTCTTACCTTTAAAAGTCCGTCACGAACGGTCTATTATGCTGCAACTCTATAGCTCTGCTAGCCTTGGCGCTAATTTCCGGGGAACGATTGAGAGGCTCCACGATCCGCCATTGCTGTAAAAAAGTGGTCCATTGGAGTGAACGGAGATGACGTAACTCTCAGTCTATATGGCGCTGCATACTACATGGTAGAGAGACTCCTGGAACAGCGCTGGCCAGTTACTGCAACTCTATCCGATCCTGAGGTAACTCCAAGGGGCAAACAGTACTTTGACTTGAAGCCAGATCAAAGGGTGCTGCTTGAAGAGCTGACACAAGGGTTGCAGCCTTTTCAATGTGCTACCGTTTACCTAAGTGGACAGGAGTATGCAACCGCTTCATGTCTTCCACAGCTGGTCAAAGGGCTGCAACGGTCCACACAGCAAACCCGTTTTGAGACGGGCGCAGGAAAAGCATTTTTGGCAATGCAGAAAAAGGGATAAACGAAAGATGGGGGTGTCTGAACACCATCTCAGCAGAGAAAGAAAACCCGATTGTTCTTTCAGCTTCCCTTGACCCGTGCAAGGGTCAATTGAAGTCCTTGCAATCAAAGAGGTAAGGGGGTCTGATATACAAGGCTGTGAGCAAATTCATCAGCAGAGGGTCAGTGTTCCAGGCAGAGGGGACAAATCAGCACTGGATAACCTCCTTCACTCAGACTGTCTGTGTCAGATTGAAGAAGAGGATGAATCTCACGAGGACCAAAAGCTCCAAATGGCAAGGAGCGAAATTCAGACGTACTTCGCAGAGCCAGCCATTCACAAAAAAGATGACCCTCTGAAATGGTGGAGGGAAAATAAGGGGCGTTTCCCTGTATTGTCAAAGCTTGCAAGATCTTTCCTTTGCATTCCTGCAACATCAACCCCGTCTGAGCGAATCTTCTCTGTGGCGGGGAATATCTGCTCTCAGAAGAGAGCAAGCTTCTCCCGAGATCATGTGGAGATGCTGACTTTCCTCCATTTCAACCCAGAATAATCTAGCCTAGATGCAAGAGTGTTTATCCCTTTTTAAGTTGAAATAGTTTTTTTATTTGATTAACCAGTTAAGCCCTGAGCCTGTTTTTCAGGTTTCAGGCTCGAAAATGCCACTAACACAACAAATGATATATCTTCACTTCTAAAAGGGGTAAATTAATAATTATTTTTCTCAAAGCAAGGTTACATCTGTGAGTTGGATGTAGAAGTGTCAGAATCAATATAGATGTTTTTATTTTAAAGTAAATTCAGATGGAACATAGTAAAAACATGTAAATTCTAATGTCCACCTAAAAAAAAAAACTTTACTTATAGTGAAAACCACCATTGCATGATGGGTTAGTAGACTAAAAGCTTTAGGAATCCAAAGTATAACATATAAGTACCCTGTATCAAGATTGATGCAAAACAAGTGAAATTTGACCTTTTTAAAGAGATTTAGAAAAATAAAGTCTAAGCGGACTCACCTCTGGGTAATTTGGGAACCATCGGTTCCATTTGAACTTTTTCACTGTAAAAATCATTTTATTACTTTGAATTATCACTATAGGTATTCATTCCATCCAAATACAACTGTTGTGAAAAAAATTAAAAAATAAATAAAATAAAATAAAATAAAACATAGGCCTACTCTTACAGTGAGCCTCTGAATTAGCCCCGAGCGAAAAATGTTAACCTATTACAGCACCGAAAATCACTCCTCGCTCCCTTATTACTTATCCTAGCTGCACATCCAACACATTGTTTATGATCGCAAGGAGACACAGAATCTAACGATGCCCATCTGAACAGCCCAACACTGAAAGATACAAACTCGTGACGTTATCAACAAAAACGTACATCAAAACAAATGGCGCTAGCGCTAATGCGCTAGGCTAACAATGACTTACCTTCCTCGTTGTCTGGTCTAAACTGGTCTTCAATGGCATTAAAACGATAAAAACGATGATGTAGTTAATCCATAGATTAATATCCAATGGGGTTGTGTCCCCTTTGAAATGTTCTGATAATCTATAAGCAATAAAACTGCAATTCCGTTATCTGCTGTCTGCTCTGTGCTCTGTGTGCTCTGGGTCCTCCTGCAATACCTGCTTCTTTACGTTGTAAACAATAAAGGAAGTGGGCTGCGTAATGTTGGCACGCTGGCTGGCATTCTTTATAATTTGCGCAGGACCATATCTCTGGAACCCATTGGTCGATTCGTGTGATTTACACCTTTTTCTTAACCATCAGAACCAATAGAATCGATGGGCAGTTCCCAAATCTACGTAAACATTACCATAGCGGACGTAATAGAGAAGGTAAGACGTAATTATTGTAATATTTTTTAAACCGGATGTTGTTTACTTTCTCTTTTCTGGCTGATAGCTCCAGGAATTCGAGGTCGGACAGTGATGACATTACATGTGTGGAATCTGTGGAGTCTCAGCTTTAAATCGTATATCTTGTTTGTGCAGTTAAGATAGTAATAAGGGCATTTCTACCGTGTGTTGTGTGTAAAAAAGCGTTAGCATTTTTTCGCTCAATGCTAATTCAAAGGCTTGGTATTACTCTTGTGTTTTTTTTAGCTAACAATTGTTCTTATTGTCAGTTAGCGGAGTTTCTTACCTTTAAAAGGGTATGAAACATTAATAGTTTCATAAAAGTTAAGAATCCCTGAGACATGTGAGAAAAAAAAAACTGTGGGAGGGGTCCACTGGGGGGACCTTCGGGCTTAACTGGTTAAGGGAAACTGCTGTAGTTTTTATTTTATATTGCTGCTGTCCTTGGTTTAAAAATGTTGACGGACAGATTTTTTATTTATCTTTGATATATTTCAGCAGAAAGTTTAATAAATATGTATTTTTGAATCAAGTATTTGTCTATTTTGTCTTCATTGTTAGTTTCCACATGCCTAAAACAACCTCAAACCTAAATGTAAAAGTTGATGGCTAAATAAGAGAATTTGAGAAATTGCGCAAGTAATAGTCCGAATAATCGATTAGTCGTTTCAGTAATCGATAGATTAATCGATTATCAAATTAGTCGTTTGTTGCAGCCCTAGTTTTCATGTAGGTGTCTCTTGTTACGTTTGTAGTTTTGCCTATAAATGTAAGGGTATTGATGCCCATTTAACGGTTTAAAGCTGTTAAGATCTATGAGACATAGCGAGTCAGTTTAGCACTGAGTAAATGAAGACCAACAAGGCATAGTGAGTCAACTCAGGGTTGAGTAATTGGAGTGAGTGCTAGTCGAACAACAGTTTGGAACTGTTTAAAAAAGTCCTTTTCGGGGAATAGGCTTGATTAAGGTGTAAGGCTTTATCAGTGGTTATACTGTTCTGTTTTCAACCAAGATATTGCGGGTGGATTACGGTAATCGGAGTTACAGCAGCATTACGTTAAATTTGACGACGGTCTGTTAATGGTCGCTGATAGGTCTCCATATTGGTCCCATCCTAGCGTGTTTAAATAGCAACAGATAATCATAGTGGCTTTTAAAGTCAAATATTACGTAGATAGGTTTATGGATTATGCGTAAGGTTTCCTAATTTTGAGTTAGGATATCCCTAGGATATAGCCCATTTTCATAGACTATAAAGTCAAATATTACGTAGATAGGTTTATGGCTTATGCGTAAGGGTTCCTAATTTTAAGAGAGGATATCTTTAGGATAAAGCCCATTTTTCATAGTAAACTAGATAGAAATGTTATTATTTTAAACTAAAGTGTTGTTTTGGCTTGTATTTTCTAAAACTATAACTTGTTACAGTCCGTTTAAAGATCACCCCGCCATTATTTAAACTCCACTGTGAGAGCCACATGGTGTACTTTCAAATCTCTTTGTTCTTCAGGTGGGGGTTGAAAAATCAGTGGCCATCTTGTTTTGAAAACAAACATAGGGCAGTCGCCATTTTGTGGAATGCTAATTGAAAGTAAGTTCTCATACACCTAATTTCACTCACATGAGGCTAGGCACTCCATCTTGTGAAGAACATCATACTTCTTGTCACCGTTGGAAGTTTGGTATTTGTAGGGAAGGAATATTGTATTTCTGCTGGCAAATGTGTATTGGCGGTTTTTGAAATATTCCTGTTGGCAAATGTGTTTTGGCGGTTATGTGCTGTATTGTTGTAAAGTTACAAATTAGTCATTCGGGACAAAAATGTCCACTTCCAAAAACTGCTCTAAAATGACAACAGATTCATAATTGTGTTGCTAATATTTGACATATCCAAGACTGTTATACAAAAAAAAGAGCCAGTCCCCAAATATGTATTTTTTGGAAAATAACAAATTTTCTCTGTTTTCATCATGAAAAAAAACAGCGGTTTCATGGCATTTAAAGGGTTAAAATCCTGAAAATGATTACATGTTTGGTATTTTCTATTAGGGCGGAAGTTGCTTTGAAGATTGAACCCAAAACAGTTGTGAAAAAAACCTTTTAATATAATGTTTTTATCAAAGTCTTTTGCAGTGGACATTTTTGTCTCGAATGACTAATTTGCGTAGTCGATTTGTTACACAGTGAATTGAAGACCGATTTGAAAAATTGAAATTGGAATTCCAAAATAGATCGAGAAAATAGCCTTGTTACAACAACAAAAGGCTGTTTGCACCAACACAACCAAAGTTATTGCAAAATGAAAAGTGAAAAATGACCCATGGACAAAAACGTCCACAGTGATACCGGAGGGTTAACCATATTGTAATTTTCTTCCCATTTTTAAGGAAAATAAGCTTCTTCTTGTTAAATAGGACAGTTTTGCAACAGCTATCCCTAGTGGATTGAGCTGGAAATTACAACAGCGCACTCTGCTGGTCGTAATATATACAACAATAGCGCATTTTAGGACAATGATATGCTAGTGTTATAGATGGACACATACTTCATGATACACAGATAAGACATGTGGTTTCAAAATTTGAGATAAGAAACTTTATGCAATAGTCTTTCAAACTAGACTGTAGAATATTCAAACACAAATGTATTGAAGCTAACACAAGTTATAACATTTGCATAATTCCATACACTTCAGTATGCACAGTACATACTGGATTTACACCATATTTCTATTTTCATAGTCAAAACATACACTGTACAAATAAAACTTTTATGTACTTTTTAACAAAAAAAAAAACCTTTAACTTCAAAAACAATTTAAACTTAAAAAAAAAAGCTAATGACATAGGATATTTAATAAGGAATACAAAAGGTACTAGTCAGAGGATTAATGTTTCATCTTTGATAACTTAACCAGTTAAGCCCTGAGCCTGTTTTTCAGGTTTCAGGCTCGAAAATGCCACTAACACAACAAATGATATATCTTCACTTCTAAAAGGGGTAAATTAATAATTATTTTTTCTCAAACCAAGGTTACATCTGTGAGTTGGATGTAGAAGTGTCAGAATCAATATAGATGTTTTTTATTTTAAAGTAAATTCAGATGGAACATAGTAAAAACATGTCAATTCTAATGTCCACCTAAAAAAAAACCTTTACTTATAGTGAAAACCACCCTTGCATGATGGGTTAGTAGACTAAAAGCTTTAGGAATCCAAACTATAACATATAATAAGTACCCTGTATCAAGATTGATGCAAAACAAGTGAAATCTGACCTTTTTAGAGAGATTTAGAAAAATAAAGTCTAAGCGGACTCACCTCTGGGTAATTTGGGAACCATCGGTTCCATTTGAACTGTTTCACTGTAAAAATCATTTTATTACTTTGAATTATCACTATAGGTATTCATTCCATCCAAATACAACTGTTGTGAAAAAATAAAACATAGGCCTACTCTGTTATCCTCTGAATTAGCCCCGAGCGAAAAATGCGAACCTATTACTGCACCGAAAATCACTCCTCGCTTCCTTATTACTTATCCTAGCTGCACATCCAACACATTGTTTATGATCGCAAGGAGACACAGAATCTAACGGTGCCCACCTGAACAGCCCAACACTGAAAGATACAAACTCGCGACGTTATCAACAAAATCGTACATCAAAACAAATGGCGCTAGCGCTAATGCGCTAGGCTAACAATGACTTACCTTCCTCGTTGTCTAGTCTAAACTGATCTTCAATGGCATTAAAACGATAAAAACGAAGATGTAGTTAATCCATAGATTAATATCCAATGGGGCTGTGTCCCCTTTGAAATGTTCTGATAATCTATAAGCAATAAAACTGCAATTCCGTTATCTGCTGTCCGCTCTGTGCTCCATGCGCTCTGGGTCCTGCTGCATTTCCTGCTTCGTTACGTTGTAAACAATAAATGAAGTCGGCTGCGTAATGTACTTAAGCTGGCTGGCATTCTTTATACTTTACGCAGGACCATATCTCTGGAACCCATTGGTCGATTCGTGTGATTTACACCTTTTTCTTAACCATCAGAACCAATAGAATCGATGGGCAGTTCCCAAATCTACGTAAACATTACCATAGCGGACGTAATAGAGAAGCCAACGAAGCATATCTGAAAGTGCAAGCCTGGACGGCAATACTTTATACCGAGTATATTGCCATAAATATGATGATTGATTATCAGTAAAAAATTCTACGTGACACAAAGACATTGGATTAACCTTGAGATGCGTTTTTATTCCGTTGAACACAACTTTTGATCACAAATCAAAAAAGGTAAGACGTAATTATTGTAATATTTTTGGAACCGGATGTTGTTTACTTTCTCTTTTCTGGCTGATAGCTCCAGGAATTCGAGGTCTTACAGTGATGACATTACATGTGTGGAATCTGTGGAGTCTCAGCTTTAAATCGTATATCTTGTTTGTGCAGTTAAGATAGTAATAAGGGCATTTCTACCGTGTGTTGTGTTTAAAAAAGCGTTAGCATTAGTTAGCATTTTTTCGCTCAATGCTAATTCAAAGGCTTGGTATTACTCTTGTGTTTTTTTTAGCTAACAATTGTTCTTATTGTCAGTTAGCGGAGTTTCTTACCTTTAAAAGGGTATGAAACATTAATAGTTTCATAAATGTTAAGAAGCCCTGAGACATGTGAGAAAAAAAAAACTGTGGGAGGGGTCCACTGGGGGGACCTTCGGGCTTAACTGGTTAATAATTTCATTCAAATAGTTAGAGAACATGTCAGGAAAGAAACTGAGTTGAGATTAGACGCAGAGCCAGGCTCAACTGCAGATATCAAGGAAAGGGTAAAAATCAGATCAGATGCTTTAACCTTTCCAAGTAAAAGACAGAAGACATGGAACCAAACTGAGAAACTGTGGGAACAGTGGCAAACGAGAGGACTGATTCCAGCAGATGATCAACCTGGACCAACGAAAGCACATAGAACAGCTGTAAGTGGAGAATACCTGTGACAGCAACAAGCATGGATCAAAGCCGGACAACCCCCTTGGTATGGACCTGCTAAAAGCGCTATGAACAGAGCTGACAAAATAAAATCTAGAGTGTACAAGATGAACAAGATGAAACAAAAAATAGCCTAAGCCAAACAAAGGAGCCAAAAGGGCGCAAGTCTACTGCTAGAAACAGAAAGAGGACTCTAAAAAAGGAGCCTAGTTGACACACCTGAGATCACTTCCAGTCAACACTAATTGGAAGGAGGCTGCAAGTAAACGCAGCTAACAAAGGGGAAACAACACACACTACTCTAAACACATAACTAAACACCCCTAACACACAACACAGAAGAGTCAAATACAATCTCCTAGCTTAAGTTAGACGTCTCCACACAGGAGCAAGATGTGTGAGGCGTCTGATTGCAGCAGAGCCTCCCGAGTGATAGCTGTCCCCAGGCTTTGTAGCGTCATCTCCGGCAGGTGTGCGCTGGGATGGCATGGGGATTGGAGCGTGTCGGGCCCGGCGTATATATAAAAAATAAATAAACTACCGAGTGTTTGAAAGCGTACAACAGTTTTATGATATCACTGCTCCGTCTAAGACACGAGTGGATCTGACTTTAATTACATTTGAGTCGAGTGTTTCCTCAACTTAATGTGTTTCTTAAAATAATACTTCTGCATACAGTATGTGACACTGCAAGTGTTGCACGGCCAGATATGGCTCAATAAGTTGACTCAGATAAGGAGATATTGTGATATTATGTGATCGATGATCTGATTGATGATGTGATATCAGTGTGATATGAACGATAAGTACCGGAGGCATAAAGACAAACATTTAGGAATGGTAAAAAAGGTGTCAACCAGACCTACGTAGAATTTGAGGAAAAGGTGGCCTTTTTGATCGGTGGTGTCAAGCTAGCAAAATCACGTCCAGGGAGGACAAGCATGAGCTTATTCTTTTGGAAGAGTTTAAAAATCAACTGCCTGAGAAAATTGTCACCTATCTGAATGAGCAGAAAGTTGTCACTTGCTGCTGCCGCGGTACTAGCAGATGAATGTGTGTTAACTCACAAACAATTGTTTTATCTTCCAGTTCACCGTGATCCTGTGGCAAGTGACAGAAGGGTAAAATCTCATTCCCGTGGTAGCGCCAAAGCAGCTGAGAACAGGGAGTGCTATTACTGCCGTGAGCAAGGACAACACATCGTTGACTGCCCTAGCCTAGAAAGGAAAGAGCAGTACGCAGGTAGAAAAACGCCATCCCCTATACATTTCATTCATACCAAACCGCACTCTGTAAAGAACGTTGCATCAAACGTGGAGGATAGCGCTATTAATGAGGCGTTCAGGCCTTTTATTTCGCAGGGTTCTGTGTCTTTGACAGGTGAGGGAAAACAAATTCCCATCACAATTCTGAAGGACACAGTCGATTATTCGTGGTGGTGTCTTGCCGTTCTCAGCTCAGATGTATAGTGGGACAGATATTTTGGCTTGGGGGATTCGGTTCAGCTGTTCCCTGTGTGTGCTGTAACTCATGCCATGTCCCGAAAACTAGGTGACGTAGTGGATCTGAGTGACTCCTTTATGAGTGACTCCGATCCAATGAACCCACTAGCAGAGGGTCAAGAGAAAACTAATCGTGGGTGGGATGAGGGTTTACCGTTGTTGTTCGCTATAAGAGAGACATTACAGGAGTCTTTAGGATTCAGTCCGGCCGATTTGGTTTTTGGCCACACTGTGCGTGGCCCGCTGCGTCCGTTGAGGGAGAACTGGCTCTCCGATAAGTTAAAGAAAAAATACAACATTTTGGACTTTGTCAGTTCATTCAAAGAAAGGCTGCATCATGCCTGTGATTTGGCCCGTGAGTCGCTCCGGACCGCCCAGTCGAAGATGAAATCCCGGTATGACAAAAAGACAGTTGTTCGGGAGTTTCAAATCGGTGACCATGTATTAGTTCTGCTGCCCGTTGTTGGTTCGGCCCCGCAAGCAAAATTTTCCGGCCCGTATGAGGTGGGCCGTAAACTCAGTGGAACGGATTATATGATCCACACTCTGGAACGTAGAAAAGAAAACTTGTGTGTGTCACATAAACATGCTTAAAATGTATGTTGATCGTGAAAGTGGCGCCGCTCAATCTCCGATAGTAGCGCCTATCGCCTCTGTGCCTGTCACTCAGCCACCTTACAGCCCCAGTGATGACGGGCTTAGTGACAGGCGCGCTTCTGTGTCCTGTGCGCGCCTCGGTAATTCAGCGATATTGTCCGATCTAAATGAACATTTAACACATCTGTCCTACTCGCCCCGGGCTGATATTCGCAGGCTCATTGAAAATTATCCGAGTTTGTTTGGGGATACTTACTCAAACGACTGTATTGGCTCATGATATTGAGGTAGGCGAACACAAGCCTATTAAACAGCATGCCTATCGTGTCAACCCGGCTAAGCGATAATTAATGCGTCAGGAAATGAAGTATCTCATTGAACACGGCTTCGCCGTTCCAAGCAATAGCCCGTGGAGTTCACCATCTCTCCTGGTCCCTAAGACGTCGCGTTTTTGTAACGCTTACCGTAAACTAAATGCCGTTACAAAGCCATCCTGAACACTCACAGCCGAAGTAGAAACAATAAGTGTGGCTTGATATTGAGTAAGAAAAAGGTTTATAACGCTGTGAGAATGGGTCTGCGGAGTGCATTTCCCCGCCATCCCAACTCGTCTATTACCAGCGTTCAGGGAGCTCTATGCAAGTCAATGGGACTGAGAACCCAGAAATTAAACAATGGAAAAAGAGAAATGTCCAACGAGGCGTTCTGGGGCAGCATAGACAGGTCTTCTCTGTGTTAGAGTTTTACTCCCTACAGGGTGTACTTTGAGGGTTTGTGACTCTGCAGACCGTTTACATGCAGAAGCTACAGAACACAAGGTGACGGGTCAGAACCAGAGAAGCATGACATGGGACCTTTAAAACATTATAGGCCCATCTCTAAATTGTCAGTTCTGGCGAAGGTGCTCGAACACCTAGTGAGTAAAGGTGTTTTTATGTAAAAATTACATCCTGTCTAACGGAGCGTCCACACTACAGCTTCAAAAAAAGCTTGGAGCTGGGCGTGTCTGAAGCTTGGGGATTTTATTCAAGCAACGCGACCAACAACCAATCACATGAATCTCCCGCCCCCGACATACAAAGCAAAACCCCCCGGGGATTTTATGGGAGCAATATATAGAACTCCCCAAACAGGCGAAAACCTACCAGTTTCACCCACTGTCTCTGCCACCTCCCTCCATGCCTGGTTCCTCCGGTTTGTATCCCGGTAGGTGAAGAGGGTCTTGCCATACAAAACCGGGTGATTTGCTACGGCGATAATTAGTTTCTCCTCCATCTTTTTTTGAAATATAGAAATGAATGGCAGGATATCTCTCCCAGCTTAGACGCGGTTTGATTGGCTACGGCTTGAGCTGTCAGATTTTCCGAAACGGGATTTGATTGGCTAGCGCTGGCTACTCCGGCGTCTCCGGCGTCAGAAGTTGAACATTGTTCAACTTCTGACGCCGGAGACGGCAGAGACGGACCGCTATGCTACCCACAATTCAGTTCGGCGAAAAAGCGAGGCAACGTGACGTCACCCCATTCAAAGTGAATGGGCAGATTGAAGCTGTCGACGCTGTAGTGTGGACGGGCCGTAAACATCAGTCAGGCTTCAGAAAGCAGCACAGCTGTCACGATCTGTCTTTATGGTGTTTTGTCTTGTTTCATGTTTTATGTTGAAAGGTCTTCACTTCCTGTCTTGCCTGTTTCTGTCTGCGTTGTGTCTTGTTTAAATCTGTCTGTGGTTCCCGGTCGTTAGTTTCCCTGGTGTGTCTAATTTACCCGATTGTGTTCACCTGGTGTCCCTGTGTTTTCTCCTCCCTCCTCACCTGTGTCTTGTTTCTGTGATTAGTCTTGTGTGTATTTAAGTTCTGGTTTTTCTGTCTTTTTTTGTCGGTTCGTCTTTTGTCATGACTAGTTCGTCGGTGAGTGTTCTGTTTTGTCTTTGTTGTTCACCTAGCCTTGAAATAAAGGAATTCTCACTTTAATCTGCATTTGGGTCCTACCTACTTCACACACCGTGACAACAGCACCATCACTGCAATGAAAGTGGTATTTTACGAGTATTTTAGATAATAAGCAGAGTTGTGCAGCTCTATTTATTGACCTGTCCAAAGCTTTTGATACCGTCGATCATCGCATCTTAAAGCAGAGGCTA